GAGTTTGAGAGCTTGAGAGTTTAAGAGCTTGAGAGTTTGAGAGCTTGAGAGCTTGAGATGTGGAGATTTGGGAATTTGAGAGTTTGAGAGTTTGAGAGTTTAAGATTTTGAGAATTTGAGAGCTTGAGAGTTTAAGAGCTTGGGAGTTTGAGAGCTTGGGAGTTTGAGAGCTTGAGAGTTTGAAGGCTTGAGAGTTTGAGAGCTTGAGAGTTTGGATTGTGGAGATTTGAGAACTTGGAAATTTGGGAGTTTGAGAGTTTGAGATTTTAGAAATTTGGAACTTATGGCTCATTAAGAACTTTCCAAAAACTAAAAAATTTGAAGATTTGGAAATTTGAAAATTGCGTATTTAGAAAATGAAAAATGTAAAAATTTAGAGATGTGAAGATTTCAGACGCTATCAATTTGAACATATGAGAATTTGAATATTATCAATTTGAATATATATATATGTGAATCTACTAATAACTTATCTAATACAACATTCTAAAGGTCCAAATGAAAATCCTTCAAAAAAGAAGCTATTAACGTTGTTAGAGTAACTCGAAGAAGAAAAATGAAATAAGAAAACAATGCGGTGGACGCATAATAAGACTCACAGTATAAAACTCAAACTTTCACCGACGACAGAGTGTGCGTGTAATTCGCTGAAAATTACGAGGATCGTTGGCTGTTAATTACGTATCGCTGGCAAAGAAAGAAAAACTGAATTGACTCGTGTCCTCGGTGATTATGGCTTCTTTTCAGCGTTTCCAATTGGTTTATCGTTTTGCTTAGTACAGTAGACTCTAACATAACTTTCTTTCAAGCTATATTTCTGGGCTTTCGAATTTTTCAAGTTTCAAGCATTCATATCTTTTTTACATTTGCCAATTTTTCACATTTTCTAACTTAACCAATTTTTCAAAATTTATTGAAATATTTGTAAATAATTTTGAACTTGATGGTGCTCGATTAGGGAGTACATCTCTGAATAACAAAGCTTTGAAATTTCTATATTTACGTATTTGTGGATTTCCAAATTCCTGGATTAGCAAATCCACATATGATCGAAAACCTGGACTACCAAGTTCACATGTCCTCAAATCTCAAAGCTTCCAAATTCCAAGATTTCCAAATCCACATATCCCAAATTTCAAAGCACTCAAATTTCTACCCTTCCACATCTATATATCCCCAGATACCTTCATCACCAAATCCACATACCCCAAATTTCCATTCTCCCATATCTACATATCCCCTATTACCTAGACCCCCAAATCCCAAGGCTCCCAAATTCCAAGATTTCCAAATCCACATACCACTTTCACAGTACCCAAATTTCCACTCTCCCATATCTACATATCCCCAAATACCTTCATCGCCAAATCCACATACCCCAAATTTCGGCCCTCCCATATCTACACATCCCATATCTAGCACAAATCCTAACCAAATCCACATATCCTCAACTACCAAACTCTCCGAATCCCTCCATTCTAACATCCATAAATCCCCAAACTTCCAGACCCTCAAATCCCTCCACTCTCACATCCATAAATCCCCAAATTCCCAGACCCTTAAGTCCCTTCACTCTCACATCCATAAATCTCCAAATTCCCAGACCCTCAAATCCCCTAATTCCTCCATTCTCACATCCATAAATCCCCAAATTCCCAAACCCCCAAATCCCTCCATTCTCACATCCATAAATCCCCAAATTCCCAAACCCCCAAATCTCTCCACTCTCACATCCATAAACCCTCAAATCCTCATCCCAAATCCTCATCTCAAATCTCCAAAAGCTCCCATAAAACATCAACCAGTCTTCACACACATTTTCCTTAGAGAACGCAGATTTGTCGTAGACTGTACACAGCAAGATTGGCGGCAGGAAACGCGGCGTGATAACGGTATCGAAAGTGTTACGCATACGCAACAGCGAGGCTGGCTTGCGAGGTTATCGTAGCTTTGAACGCGAGGACGCGCGACTAGCAACCTCTAATTTACGTCGCGAAGTCGTACGCTAATCAGCGTGTGCTGCCGCGGAAAATTTATTCCCGCGAGACGAACGGCAGGCGTCGAGAAACGGCCGTTATCGAGCCGCGTCACGGAAGCCGTGTCGCGATTACTCGAGCCGATCCGCTTCGACCGTGCCTCCGCGATTTGTCGACGAAACGCCGAGCGGAAATGTCTTCGCGCGCGGACAGTAATGGGCTAATCATGGCTTTGTATCGAACGTTTTCTTGCTTCGGTGCCGATTTGAATATATAACATTCGGTAGGAATGTTAATTCGTAGCTTTGGTGTAGAATACTTTTTAAGGTGTACAATCATATGTCTTCGAATGAGGAAAAATATAGTTCTTTTGATTGGCGGATAATATTGTAAATTAGTATATAATGTAAATCTGTATAGTAGAAAAAATTAGTATTGTATGAAATTGTTTGTAGGAAGCTTTAGACTCGAAGGATTTTGTATAACCTTGCAGCGAGCATAGATCGCATATGTGATCACATATGATCGCTGCTTTTTATGGAGGACGTTAACCAATTAGTACAATACATGTACATTTATAATAATACACTTCAATTAATCGATATCGTACAAAATTTGTATACATATATTACACTTGTTATGAGAGTCCTACATGTCACACACTCGTTACACATATGTGTAATGAATATATAGGATCACACATATGTACAGCAATTGAATGCAAGAAAGAAGTAATACGACTTGTTACGAGAGTCCTACATATCACACACTCATCACACATACACGTAATGAATATATAGAATTACACATATGTACAGCAATTGAATACAATGAAAAATTATTACGTCTTATTACAAGAATCCTACATATCACACATTCATCACACATACATGTAATGAATATATAGAATAACACATATGTACAGCAATTGAATGCCAGAAAGAAGTAATACGACTTGTAATGAGAGTCCTACATATCACACACTCATCACACATACATATAATGAATATATAGAATAACACATATGTACAGCAATTGAATACCAGAAAGAACTAATACGACTTGTTATGAGAGTCCTACATATGACACACTCATTACACATACATGTAATGAATATATAGAATCACACATATGTACAGCAATTGAATGCAAGGAAGAATTAATACTTCGTCAGATTAAAGATATCAAAGAAGCCGCTGCACGCGATCGTGAGAGTGAAAAAGAAAAGAAGGATCACGCATTGCTGCGATAAATCGATCGTCAAGAAATTAAGCCGGCGTTGCGTAACGGTACGCGAAAATCGCACGGATGCCCGAGGGCCGTTCTTGCGTCGCTCAGTTACGGCGAATCGCGTACGAAGACGGCGAAATCGTGCCCGTTAACTTTTCGCAAGAACGGAAAACAGTTACCCCGCTCAGACATGCGTGGCCAAGAGGGATAAGGAGAGCGTTTCATTGACTCTGGCCTGACTTCTTAATGGCCGCACGCCGCGAAACCAGCGACACGAGACCGACTCAAATCCCTCGCGGCAAGATCGCTTTCGCCGATTGACATCGCTTCTATTCTTTCGGTAATGTTGGTTTCCACATGAAACTGTTATGAAATTGTACACATGTAAAATTGTGCATATGGTAAATATGTCTGATATATTAAGTAATAAAACTGTACTTTTATCACTATCATAATGTGTA